TTGCGGATTACTGATGGATGCTTCCTTATTCAAGTCAGTTTTTTGAGTTTCATGTTTTTGATTTGTAGCCGCCAAACTCGTTGAAATTAGAGCACATCTATACTGTAATTTAAAACATACGAAACTGTAACTGGACTTCAATGGGAAACCTTTAATTACCAAAGATTCCTTAATTGAGTTTTTAATTCAACGAAGAGGACTTTATGACATTCAGTCGGTCAAAACTTGGGAGCCCGCTGGGTTTTGTTGAAAGCATTATCGTTTACCGGTGACAATAATGTTCTGGAAAAAAGTGTAGGGCAATGCTTCTGTTCCCTGTCAAATAGCATTGTGATTTAAATAACGCTTATGCCTACAACGCGATTTTTTAAACACTGACAAGTTTCCCCGTTAACCCGCCAAATAATTTTTCGTGCGCACACTCTCTCGAACCTTTCGCAATATCTTAGTTAATTTTACGTTTCCTTATTCGCATGCATCCGACTCTTTTCTCTTTTAGGAATGTAGGCATCGCGTGGTCGATCGTAGAGGTTATGTGGTCGATTGTTCTACGAGTTTGCGCTTGCCAATGGGATCCTACTTGAAGTCAGCCAATTAAAACTGTCCGTTCAGAACTGACAAATATAATGTAGGATATATTCTGCCTTCCCGCATTTTGTCTGTACACGACTGCTTTGGAAGGTTTATTTCTAAATGGTGGGTGCATTCAATTTGTTATTTTTGAGGTGTTCTAACAGTTCACTTATCATATCATGAGAGTTAGGTTCTACTGCCATAGGCCACAAATTCCACCAATTTTAAGGCTTCACTGCAGTGTCTTTCTGAAGAATATTTAGGGAAGTAGCAGTTGCCGTTAGATTTGCAACGAAATCCCTTACGAAGGTATGCCTAGGATCGGCGTCCTTCCTGCCTTTTTCTACATATTTTTTGGGCATACTTGCCGGAATTAAATGAAAAATTTCTTTAACGATAAAAACTTACAGGTTGAATAGTTCTAAAACTTCCATCCTAAATAAATTTACTGTTCTATTGCTGAATATATCTGAATGTACATAATCTGTCTAAAGTGGGTTTTGTGCAGTGGTAAAATTTGCAGTCATCGTTGTTTTGACCTTTGCTCTGTATGCATTCTGTAGCGATGCATCGAATTGCAACGAGCTACCCAAATTTCCGAATTAATATTCTTCACCTAAGATCACCAATTACCTTCTTTTTAAGTCTAATTTTAATCCTTCCAGTATGACATAGCCTATGTAACGGATTGTTTTGACTTCTAATGAAACAATGAACCTTTCACTGTTCGAGAGTTAAAAAGTTTTTGGTACAATGTTACTTAGCCTCATGCATGTATCTTCCTTCTTCATCACTCCCGCTACGCTATTTGCTACATAAATTTTTTATGTAACACGCGACATTGCTTAATCCATTTTTATTTGCTTGTCTTAAGCAGTAAGTAACTGGCGAAGACTTTGCTTCCCCTCTGTTTAACAGTTGCTGAACTGCATAATTACAAAAAATAAGCATGATCATATATTAACTCGCGGCGAGACATTTAATCACCTCATTTATTAAGTAGAAGCAGTCTATTAAAAAATTCTAATAAAACTTCGAGGTCAGAAAAGATCTTAGGTGAGTGGATTGAATTATGAAATTCGCACAAAAGAACGGAAGATTTCTGAGAACGCGCAAACCAAGTTACATGCAATGACCAAAGCATTTTTGAAATCAAGAGTTTCTGCACAAATAAAAACAAAAAACAACCGCAGAAACTAACATCATGTTGATTGGAAGCGAGGCATTTGTGGATAAAGTCGAAATGATGTAGGCCACAATTTTCATGTCAAATGTGCAAATTAGAGGTAAAAAACAGAAAGGACAAGTTAGTATACACAGATAACCAGATAAAAAAGTGGTAAGCAGTAGCTTGTTTACTGATCCTACGCAGATGACAGATTGTGGCAAACTTGTAGGCTCATCGTCAAGGTAAATAAGCTACCTAGAGATTCATATGATAGACTTTTCTTTAAAAGTGCTTTCGTAAGGTAGTCTGCAGATGGAGACCCATTCGTCTCAATTATTTCCAAGTTAAGGTTACAAAGCATCTAAAACGTTTTGCCTACTCACGCATAAATCTGGAAATCAATCTGCTGCCTATAAGAAAAACCGAATTTTCTTTTCGCACTTGAGCCATACTCTTCATCATTGGTCATTCCATGACGGTGTCTAGGACTACAATTTTGCACAAAAAGCCATATAAGTAAAAATGCTTTTGTTTCTAAGCAGTGCTATAACGTTATGGTGGAATGTCTAAGTAGTATTTTAATAGAGACATGTCAGATACAGTCATAGTAAAACAGACTGCTTGCATAAAAAATGTCCAAGTATATTGACGGGATAGTCTTCTCCCTAAATATACATAGGCGACCAGCGCAAGGAAATTGGATTTTTACGTAAAATCTTACGGGATAAGTACAATAGTGTGCGCCTGATATACGTCTGAAAGCAATTCTGATTTCAGCCATCATGCTTCATTATTTTGTTCACATGGTATAGCTATACGCACTTAACAGCCATCTGACGGTCATTAGATATTCAACATTAATACATCAAATAACGGTTGGTGAAAAACATGGCTTCCCTTCGCTCAGAAATGGGCGCATACCGATCCATTGGCTTCCGGAGACAACCAAAGTTCGTATGGGTGATAGGGGGTCACGAGCAGGCAACTACCTACCAGGCCGAATTCGGCCAAGCTAGGATAACCGAGGGAAGACGACAGAGTCTGCGAAGTAGATTGATACAGCACTGTTTCGGGCTTGTTTGCCTTCATTCGACCAGTCATAACCCTGACCATCTCCCTGGTCCCAAGTGGCGGTCAGGGTTATGATTGGCTGAATGAAGAAAAACAGGCTCGAAACAATGCTGTATCAATCTACCCTCCCAGACTCTGACGTCTCCCCTCCGCTATCATGACTTACTTTATTTATCGGGATTAAAGTGGGTTCTGGAATTAGCAAAAAAATCCAACATTTTTGCGTAAGCAGGTTTTTAATTATGCAATTTTGACAAACGTTTGCCAAATTTAGCCCAGATGAATAAAATCAGCAACAGGAAACTTGTTTACGGGTGTGTAAAACTATATCCATAAATCAGAGATTTGCATTTAATATTTTCATAGGCAACTTTACGGGCAAATTTCACCCGATGTTAATGCACTTCGTTTCTTAAGTCGCTGCTCGTTGGATGGCATTTACTAAAAGGAAAGACGGGTAAGGTCGACTTCGAGTGACTTGCATTATTAAAATGAATAAAAAGTGTCATAAAAATTGAACGATCTGAAAAAAGGTCAGTGGTTATCTTTATAAACGGTCGAAATTTATATACTCAAGGAACGGCTGATGAATAACATTCCCCTTTGTATACAGCTCTCTTTTAGAATACTACGGCAACGAAAAAAATATGAAAATATGCGTCTGAACATTTGTTAAGCTGTAGACATTTGTTGTATATCACTTGGACGACTAGGGCGAATATCAGACTTTAAAAAACCCAGTTTTTATTTTGAAGCCTCTGCAAATTGCCTACGCCAAAGTGTACACAATAAACATATCTTACGATTTTTTCCAGCAAAAGACTTAAACAGACGACTTTATGTCTAAAGTTCCTTTCTATCTATCAGTTTGCCTTTTCTCAACAGGCCTTTAAACTGCTGAAATACCTGTCTATAGCATACATAATTCTAATAAGACATTATGTCGAGTGGGGTTATTCTCCTTAACGTATTTGGCGAGAACAAAATAATTCGCCATCGTTCGTATCAGCATGATCAAAAAACCTAAAATCCATTTGGATGCAAGACCATGTTTTGCCGTTTCCAACATCAGTCAAGTAAAAGGGTTGGAATTTATGAATGAGCAGACTAAACGCTGAAAAGAATGCTTCCCAGGAAATCGAACCATAACCTTTTGGTTTTTGGTTTTATGCATCCGAAATATAAGTTTCCGCAAATCCCGACGTGACTGCCGAAATTAATTGTGAAAACATCGGGATAGATGTACGTCAAGTAACCAAAACTTCTTACTTACTTCTTACTTACTTGCAATGGACAACAGCAGACTTGTCGGAATGACATGAGTACTTTTTATGGACGTTTAAGTCACACATGTTACTTCTGTATTAAAAGTTCTCTGCAGTCATATGTTCAAACACTTAAGTACCAATTGCCACTTCTCTTACTAAGTTTTGTTAAACTATGGTCAAGCACACCTCCTGTTTTGATCATAAGCATGGTCAAACTCACCGACTTTTATATTGCACGGACTGATCTTTCATATACTGCTGTTGCTTTTTAGTTGATTATTTATTATTTTTTCAGATGAGAGGCAACTATCTGAACATTATAAAGTACGTGTTCAGCCGGTGACAAGAAGAAACTGACCGAGCATTCCGGAAACTTCTTGAAATAACTAATGACAAATTTTACCGCGAACGAACAAAATACCGGGCGTTTTGCTAGTTGTGATTTCGACGACCAGAACGATCTTACGAGCATCACATTGCGTTATGCAGTCCCGACGCTTTTTGGGATCGTCGATGTGATCGGTTTCATAGGAAATCTGTTGGTGATTATTGTGATTCTTGGTTACGCGAGCATGAGGAATAGTACAAACATCTTGATCCTATCTCTTGCCTTTGCAGACTTTTCGTTCATCATTTGCTGCGTTCCTCTCACCGCAATGGTGTACGCCACTACCGCCTGGCCGCTTCCTGAAATTGTGTGCAAGACGTACCTTTTTCTTACCTACTTTTCTGTTTACTGCAGCATATATACACTAGTGCTTATGTGTTTGGACCGCTTTCTGGCTGTAGTTTATCCTCTTCGGAGCAGAGCATGGAGGACAACAAAAAATACAAGTATTCTTGTAGCCGTAACGTGGGTTCTCATTATTTCCTGTACTTCGCCCATCTTCATCGCTGCTAAAGTCCTCCGAACCTACAACATGAACTCCACAACGCCTTGCGTGCTAGAGGTCTGCCAAAACGGTTGGCTGTTTGAGTACAACGCAAGGAATGAGATCCTTGACTTTTCCCTTCACCGAAGTCGCATTTTCTTTGGGACATTCTTTGTTTTGGGCTACGCCTTTCCTCTGGTCGTAATTTGCTTCTTCTACAGCATTCTTCTTTGCAAACTCCTCTGCGGTCGAGCCTCAAAGATGTCAAAGTCTGCGGAGGCCAATCGAGGCAAGAGGAGGGCAACTAGGGTCGTCATTGTTGTTGTTCTCGTATTTGCTTTCTGCTGGCTGCCCATTCAGGTGGTCTTCATGTTGCAAAACTTCTTTGATGATACGAACTCCTTCGCATTTCGCATGGCACATGTGGTCGGAAACGTTCTTGCTTATGCCAACAGCAGCGTTAATCCCATTCTTTATGCCTTCTGCAGCGAAAGCTTCCGCATGGGCTTTGCTGCTCTTCTCTGTCTAGACCGGTCAAGAATGCGCCAACTGCCGAATACCGGCAACGCCTGCAACAAAAAATATCCACATTCCCAGAAAAGACTTATTGCAGTGGAGGAGACAGTGGATGAGTCGAGTGTGCATTCTGATCCTAACGTTCCTCATCCGCACAATGTCTCGATTTGTCCTCATGTCGTCGCCCTTGTGGAAGAACTAACTGACTCTCCTAACGACATTCAAGCGCCAGAATTAACAGCCGCCAACCATGCTACAGCCTGAAGGCGTCTTGTTGTATATAAATGACTCCAGGAGATCTATAGTAAATATTGTTTTGTCTGGCATCCAAACTTCCTTTTATAGAAGCCTGCTTGTATAATTTAAAGAAAAGCATGAAGTTGCTAAGGTTGGCTATTAAGGATGTTTCTGAAAACTTAAACAGCGAACTCAGAAAGATAGATACATAAGCAGAGGAGCAAAAAATCGACGTTTCCGTAAACAGATACAGATAAAAACAACTGCAGTTAAATGCGGTTAATTAACTTCATCTTTCCGATTTATGAAAGCTGAAACGTTTTTCGGTTAATGAATGTTATTTTAGTGTGCATCATTCGGCATGAAACATTGTGCAATCGTTACCATTTACGTCAACTTTTTAGGCAACAAATAATACGACTGAAATATTAAAGTACTCATGTGTGCATAACATAGCCTAGTATCAGAAGGAAAAGCCATCAACTTCCGCGGGTTGTTCAACCCAGCACATTTCAAAAATCATACTTAATTAAAAAAGCTTATACAATGGCATGTACGAAAACAAAATCTATATGATCTGTGATGCCTTGTGGACACGCTTACATTTCTTGATTAGAAAGGTCTTCCAAAAGTATATCAGCGTTAACAGATACAGACAAGAGTCGCTAGCATGACATACATTTATAAAATAATTTTGAAAGTCAGTGGGAATCATAATTGCTTGTTAATTGATTTGATTTCAAATTAATGTCATCCCTGAATAAAAAACTCATTTGATTTATTGTTTAAGCGCTCAACGGGAGTTGAAAATCATGTTTTAATACAGACTCTAGATGATTTTATCAGCTAACCTCTTTCAGCATCTCATATTTTCTGTTTTTAGTTTAAGATGAAAATGGAGAAGTAGTGTTTGCAATGCCAGTACGACGAGTTAGCATTTGCGGCAGGATTTCATAAGTCTAATACTATTTTGTTCAAGCGTCTTAGCATTAGTGTTGGGACACGACAATAGGTAATATTTCTGAAATTTAGCACAGAACCACCTGCATTATGGGAGGTGGACGTCCTTAGTTCTGTCTTACCGGGAAGAGGCATACAAGCTATCCTCGCCACAAAACCTAACCGGGGCATTCTGTGGCCGTGGCACTTTAATAAATGTTTACATCGACAGTCAGTATTACAGGTTAAATGCAAGATTCCGATATTCCACTCTTTAGTTGTTGTGATTTCTCGACCTCTTATTATCTTGCAGTACTATTTCGCAAACAACTGTACATTTGTAATTTTTCCGACTTTTTGCAAGTTATGTTGAAAGAAGCGTGTCAGAATTTCAGTTCCTGTAGCCTATTATTTCCATCCACTCAGTGTACAAACGCCGTCTTCATATTGAAACTTATATGCGTATCCCTCCTTGTACAAAGATAAATCTGTACAGGTTCCTTCAAAATGGCTAAACATTTCTCAGCTCGATCTATATGACGTAATCTCCCAGGACAGTAGTGAAAACGTTGCTTGATGAGAAAGCAGACGAGGTGTCACCTTTGTGCATGTGGCCTGAGTCTGGATTTTTACTGGCTGATGGCCGAAAATTGGCCGGAAATGGGTATGCCGATGTCCGCGCCTTTTTCTGTAAAAACTCTTGAACGTATATAAAGGCTGGTCTGCACGGCTGCTTAGTCATCTAGGGTCAAAATTAATTCTATTGGCCAAAAGGTGCAGAAACGGCCCTACATCAAAGCAATAGCTTATGCAACTTAGTAATGAGCCACATCCGAAAAAACTAGTGTAATAGTTTTCTGGTTCTTATAATTTCAGAGCCCATCCAGGCCTATACAAAAATATACATTTTAACCCCTGCGGCTGCCAGAGCTCACCTTCAAAAGGCCTTCTATATGCTTGGTTTTCTTTAAGCTAGTTGCGCTTAATAATATAAGATATGCTTTAGTTTAGTCCGAGAGCACGCAGCCGCATATTTGCAAGTTTTGTAAGCGTGACGAGGAAAAGTAAAACAGACAGCGCATACGCAGTCTGTAATTTATCACTGAATTCCAAGGTATGCAGTCTACGTTAACAGTATACGCTCGTCGCTATAAGCCGGACTCGGATAGATTTGTTAACATCACACCGCCTGCTCCACAAACTAACCATAAATTTCACATACGTAAATAAGTCCACCAATCCTTGGAGCGGATATGGAAACATTCGTTAGTTTTCGCAGACCCATATACTGACTAGTAGGAATCAGTGCGAAGTGGGTGCTGACGCACTACGAGACCTTTAAAAGTGCTGCCTTCTTTGATTCCAACGTTGCCAAGGAGTGTCACATTTTAAGGAAATTGAATACCTGTACTGCGCCCAGACTTCTCGCTGGTAGTCGTGTGACATATGTGTGAGAAGATCGGTTGAATGGTACACAGGCGTCTCTTTCATAGTTCACAATGAGGGATGACATTCTGAAGGCAAAATACACAGGGAAGGCAGTGGGCAGACGTATGCTCCCAATGAACTTTGCGTAAAATGTCCCACAAGATCTGACAAACCTGACTTCACGCGTTCAAAACATCCCGGATAAAGATGGATGGCCGCATGAGTATCTGGGAACCGGTTTTGCAATTGAGCTGAAATTTCCTTTAGACAAAGTGCCTGAAAATAAGGGAGAAAGAGCACTCCAACACGACACACTTATTCAGACAATTTAAAAATATTCACATCGGTTATCTATGATACAAATAATTTAAGTAAGGCATATTTGTCCCATTTTCCAGTACATTTTGGCAACCAAGATGTGGTGGCTGTCATTATTTCTTGGTTAATTAAGAGAGATTTGCAAGATAAAGTGCCAATTGCAAGTTCAAAAAAAGATACAAGCAAGAACCAGAAACAGCTGCTGAAGTCGCATCTGTACTTGCAAATAAGTAAGATTAACGTCACTCAAAATTCTTCGCAGGATTCGGGTTGATTCGTGACGCATTTATTTTAAGCGAGCGATGTTCTGTGAAATTGAAAGCATACCAGTTAGCTTAATACACGCTTCATTTAAATAGCCTACCGAAAAAGACCATAACCATACGGTGGAGATGCACTTAAGTTTATATCTCGGGAGATTTCAAACCTATTGCGTGCTTCGAACACAGCGGCAAAAAATAACGTCGATGTAACATGAAACGTGACTTTTTTGCTGTACAACAGCCTTTTAGTTGTCGGGGAGACTCAAACCTATTTTGCGACGGACGACTGCCTAATGTAGAGAAAACAGCAACTTTGAAAGGAGTAATTAATTTCTGGACGGTCGAAAGCCGTCTGAACACCGCAATAAAGGGCTGAAAATAAACTGATATTTCGGTTCACGTCGGCAAAGCCAACGAGTCCGCATGCAGCTTATTAATTTCTACGATGACCTAGGGGGTTCCGCCAGGCAGTATTTAATCAACTTCACATTTCTTTTAAGGGAAAAGCACACATCAAACATTGGTTTTGCATTGTGGAAATGGTTTCTTACCGTGACGTCGTCAAAAGCATCGTTAAACCGTTTATTATCAATCTTGTATTTGAAAGTAAATCTTAGGCAGTATGCGTTTCGGGGATTTTCGTTATGCAGGTTATTTTCGTAAATGCGCAATATAATTAATATCCGGACAAATAATATTATAATGCCAAGTCCTAAGTTTTTTCGTTCAATACTGTCGCCAACCTTTGAAATACGTAACCGCTTCACTTCTGATGGTTCGAGCGGATAAACTACCTTTGCGATACAGCCCTTAACTGCGGGGGTTTACTTAACGTTTGATTTTATATGACTATAGGCGTGTTTTATGCAGCCAATCGCAAACGTTTTCTCAACGGGGAATTTGAGTGTTGTTAGTTCTGGCAGGTTCATATCCCTTCGTCAAGCAGCTTTGTAAACAAAATACCATATGTTTACTAACCAACTGCACATCCTGGAGGACTGTTTAAAGCCGTCCTTTGAATCGAATTTTTACTTAAATGCTTCACAAAGATCATGAAGATCAAAAAAGCAACATAAGAACATGTCGGCTAATTCGTCGACGGGGAATTCTATTGATCTGTCAACGCAATTTACTTGAATAATTACACCTTGTGCAACTTCATTGTTTGATGTTAACATGATAACATCTTCACCTGGTTGATGTTGGTCCCCATTCTGTTTGCGGAAATAAATTCACCACACACATCACGATTGTAAACACGCAGTGCAGACGAGCACATTCTTTGACAGGTAAGTGTTGTCGGACCTGTTATAATACCCTCAGCTCCAAAATGGAGAAGTAACTACAATGCCATCGTGACAACTGGTACGTAGATCGACATTAAGATGACAAGCCGGCAGATGTTTGCGACGATTGTGTGAGTCCATATCAGTTGCAAGCAACCCGTTCTAACTAGTTATTCCCAACAGCAATCCTTCGCAGCTTCATCGAGGATCAAACCAAAATCAGTGACCCTCGTGGCTGTCTAAAGAGTTGCCTGAATCAGTTAAGAGATGTCAGTCGCCAACAGCGACTAGCCAGTCTTGGAGAGCGGTTACATTAAAAGCTATTAAGAGCTTTACTTTTGTGATGGTCGACAGATGCGTAAGATGTTTTCGTTAAGGCCACACTAAACAATCACTGACTGGTATCGTCCAATCAATGTTTTGACCGTTTCTTCCGAGTTAGAACGAACCAGACTATTTTTACTAGCACTGGTGGGAGAGGAGTCGAATCATGAAATCTTCATGGGATAGTTTGAAGATGAATATATCTAGATAAAATAGTCTATATAACTGAATGACTGCAAGAAAACTTCTGTAGACTGCATATAAAGTAAAACTGCATCCAAAATGTACGTTCCACTTTGCCCCTGGAACGGATCACGCGGCAGATGCGTCGGACAAACACAGGGGCTAGATCGAAGTCCAGCAGGTGTTGTCGGGAATGTTCAGCTCGTAACAAATGCCAACATTGGCAGGACAAGCTGCAGGCTCACGCCGAGCCCATTGGGATCTGCGCCGTCTCTGTGTTTGCTAT